CCTTTCAAGCTATGGGACAATAGGCTAGATAAACCTTCTGTGATGGCTCCTGGACCTAAGAATTCGATGGCTTACTCAACTTCTAGAAAGTCAACAGGAATAACTTCAGCAACTACAAGACGACAAACCTCTGGTTTAGGGTTCCTAGCATGTGGGAAGTAACAACAGCCACTCAGTACTCATTTAGACCTTCACTGCTGTCAGCTTTCCTGTCCCCTCGTTATGTGACTCATGAAGTGCTCGGCAACCTGTCAGGAAGCACCGGGGGGGGGGGGGGGGGGGGGGGGGGGGGGGGGGGGGTACAGACCTGATTTGCACAAAGCTCCTGATAGGTCCCTCTGATTCCTTTCTTATGAGCCCAGGCAGGCATGACTTCAGGGTCAGGCACGACAATGCCAACCAAAAAGGCCTACAAAGTCCACCAGAAAACACAGTCATGACACAAGCTTTTAGAGTTCTCATTTGTGGTCTGGTATTAAAAAATAATCTCTTGGTATTCTCAGACTCCACCCTTTCCTAAAAATAAGTCTTCCATTATGAAACATTTGTTCAGAGGTTATAAAACACTTCCACCAAGGGTGCCACCCAGTCCTGACTGATTGCTTCTGACACGGGGCTGCTCAGTGGCTAAGCATTTGATTAGCATGCCTGAGGCCTGGGTTCAAATCCAAGTACCAAAAGCCAGAAATTAAACACACACACACACACACACACACACACACACACACACACACACACACAAAGACACACATGGACACACAGACACACAAAGACACACATGCACACACACACAATTTCTGATATATCTCTCTGATTTTCATGTCAGTCTCAGATCTGCACATCTCGAAGGATGTTAATCAGACAACTTTATTGGTCCAAAGTCTGTGAGTCAAAATACATTTCCCAGAACTTCCAAACTACTTCAACATTATTTGTGAAGAACTATTTTAAGTTTTTTGGTTATTCTTTAAAAGTGATTTAAGGTTTAATTATATATGTAAATGCATAGGATAGAACAGAGTCGATAACTGTGATACCACAGAATTTATTTTTGGTCTTTCTGACTGTGATCTAAATGATATTGACAGGAAACATTTTAATACTGATGGTGATATTATCATTGATACCATTACTTGTATTACTAGACCCATTTACCCATATGATTTATTTGCATAGCAGGGCTTAGATGGCAGTGTATCTCAGTGGTTAGCCTGATTAGCATGCAGGAAGGCCCTGAGTTCAACCCACAGCAACACACACACACACACACACACACACACACACACACACACACACACACAGAGGGGGAGAGAGAGAGAGAAAGAGATAGATAGGTAGAGAGAGAGAGAGAGAGAGAGAGAGAGAGAGAGAGAGAGAGAGAGAGAGAGAGAGACATATACACACACAATCAGAAAAGCAAAAATACTGAATTTCTATTTAATATTGTGCCTCAAGAAATTTCCCCCTTGGAAGTTAGTGAACATACATTAAAATTAGTAGAAATGTTTATTTCTACACGTTCAAGCAACTCATTTGCCTTACTGCAATTAACCAAACCCTAAGTAGTTAGTATTTCTTCTGTAGTTTTGCTTTGAGGCTGAGGCTGGCATCAAACTCATGATCCTTTTGCCTCTGCCCCTGAATGTACTACCATGCCTGGTTTTATGTGGTGCTGGGCACAGAACCCAGGACTTTCTACATGCCAGGCAAGCACTCTACCCAGTGAGCTAGATTCCCAAGCCCCACAATTTCTCTTTAAGAAAGGATTTTCCCCCCTCTTAGCCTGAAATGTATGGGTAAATCCTGGTGGTTGACTAGAAATCACAATCTACTCTGGAGTTTTCAGCAGGCCAGTCTGTGAGGGAGGGCTGGAGCACCATTGCTCACCTTTAAGCTGTCCCCATGGACATAGATTTGTGCCACAGGCTCACTCCGGATGTAGATGTTCTCAATCTTCTCTGGTGCAACGTATTCCCCCTGAGCAAGTTTAAATATGTGCTTTTTTCGATCGATGATTTTAAGTGTTCCCTCCTGTGGAGTCGAACAGACAGCGTCCTCAGACAGCACTCCCATTTCCAAGCTGGAACCCCGCCTCCTCAGTACAGACTTAACCTGTACACCCCAGCACAAGCTGCTCCACTCTGTGTCTACAGAGATGCTGCATGGGGCTTGAGGGAGCCATCGCCCACCACAGGTGGGTGACATGCCAGTTCTGCTGGGCCCTGAGCATCCGCCATCCTTTCTTCTGGATCAGCCTCACCAGGTCCCCCTGCTTCCCCAGCCTCCCTCACCCCAGAAGCAGGCATTCATCTGCTTCTGCTCAGATCCATCTCTGCCCCATCGGGGCTCCTCTTGGCCGGGCCCACCCTCAGCTGCGCCTTTTCTCACTGACATCTCCAGGTCCACTCTCTTTGACCTCACTAGGTTCTATGGCCTCAGCTACTGCCTCCACCCCAGAGTGCCCTTGCCATCTCCTGGTGGACAGCAGACTCCTCAGAGAGAGCCTGTGGCTTCCACCCAACCACCAGATGGTGTTAGAAGCCCCAGCCTCTCCAGTATCCACTGGCAGGGAGGACAGGGAGTGAGTGCTGGTGCCGGTGGCCTCTGGGACCCAATTCACTCCACTGACCCAAGACCTGTTTGAGTTCCTGGGGTGCTTAAGTGACTGTTGTACTTTATCTCTGAGGACAGCACAGCAGGGGAACCATTTCCATACACCTAAGTTCTCAGATCTCTGCATTGGCTCCCAGATCTCACCACAGGTCAGTGACTCCCATCAGGCTACAAAAATCTGTCCACCCAGAATACAGCTCACCCAGAATGAGGCTCCTGGAGATCACTCTCCTCAAGTCTGACCCATGCTGGGGTCATTCCTGTTTGCCTCACCTCTCTCTCTTGGCTCAGGCCCATCAATCCTCACTCCCAGACCCCTTTCGCACACACCTCTTCCTCCTCCTGTGGAAACTACATCTTGAGCAGAAAGAGCCCTGCATATCCTCCATCCCCAGTCCATCTGTTTGGTCCTCCAGGGCCAGAGCAATCTCTCCAGGAGAGAAGAGGGAAGCAGGCCTGTTTTCCCCAGCACTGGGGCTGGATCTCCTACATTTCCCTTACACTAGCTCCTTTGATCTTCATAGCAACAGCCAGATGTGGTCACCTCTGTTCCTCTAATGAGGAAAATGAGGGTCAGACATATTAGTTAACTCCTCCAACAGCCACAAGGCTTGAGAACAGAGGATTCAGGGTTGAGAACCAGGACTTTCTGGATTAGAGGTCTATACCTTCTCCTTCATCTAGTACTATAAAATAATAACCTTCTAAGCACAAATATCTCTTAAACATAACCATTGAAGCCTTACACATGGTCTTCCAGAAAATGGGAAAAACATGACAAAAATATCATTCATCCATTCATTCAAATAAACTGACACCAAAGCCAGAGTCATATTTTAAAAGGGAAATTGCAGATTGATCTTGTTTATGAGTAGAAACAAAAAGGCCAAACACAATGTATAGGGAAATAGTGATCAGGAAAATCACATCACAGCTAAGATGAGGTTAAACCATGAACGCACAATGGGCCTGACATGAGAGACAGGGAAAGCATAAACATTTTTTTCAAATGGAAGAACAATGTCAATTCAAATTCAGCCCTTATTTAGAAATGATGATAACTTTTGAGACTGACTCCATGGACTGTTGACAGATTTTTAATTTCTTGTGTCTGAGCACACCAGCTACTCCACAAGAATTTATTTACTCACTTCTCGCCTCGCCCTGAAGGGTGGGAGGCTTCATTCAAATTCAGTGCTTCAGCTCTGAGTGTTTACGGTTCTGAGACCCTTTCTTTATGGAAAAAAAAATAATCCAGAAACCAGACATTACGGTATGTGTCTATAACCCCAACACTTGGGAGACTGAGGCAAGAGGATGGCAGCACATTTGAGTTCAGCCAGGGCTGTACAAATAGGACTATACAGAAAGACCTTCTCAAAAAATCTGTCACCACTACCATCATCATCAATACAAAAACAAGAAACAAGAAATAATCCAATTGATTGCAGGGCTTTGAAAGGGACTCTTGCAAGTACAGGACCTCGAGTCTCAATCTTCCTTGGCTTATGGGACATCTGTCCCTCCACAGGTGTCCATGTTCCACAGGCCTCTCCTGCCCCTCTCCTACACATCTGTGGGCCTTCTGTTGGAGATGATCGTCTACTGATCCTGGCCCGACTGTCCTTCTCTCTCTGTTCTCTTGGTCTAGAGTCAGGTCCAGTGAGTGCCTGTCCTCTGCTTCTTCCCTGATGCTTGTACCCTCAACCAGACTCACATTAAAAATAAAAATAAAATAAAAATAAAAATAAAAATAAAAATGTATGCCTTCCCTGAGCAGAGTCCCTGTTCCAGGGAATACACTGGGGACTCGTCCTTGTCTGCCACAGGCATGAGGGTTTCTCAAAGGCAGGTGCACAGGCCCAAGCAGAGGCCAATTGGCTCACGTGGCCCCAGAGCCCGTGGGAGGGCTCAGCATCACTCATGTGTCTGATAAACTCAATGCCTCAGATTCTGACCAAACAGCAGCAACTTTGCAGACATACAGAAGAGGTCCCCTGGCTGAGTGACACCAGGCAAGGGCTCTGGGTGTTGGCCACAGTATTTTTTTTCCTTGAAGGATTTGCACAGTTGTCTGATACATGGCAGGCACTGTACTAAGTGCTTTGTAGCCATGATCTCATTTGTTCCTCATGACAACGACTACAGAGGCTAACGATACTATTATCCTCGTTTTTTAAAATAAAGGAATGTGGGCCAGAAAGACGGCTCAGTGGGTAAAGGCACTTTCTGCCAAGGCTATGACCTGAGTTTGATCCCCAAGACTCTCATGGTAGAAGGAGAATCAAAGCATGCAAGTTGTCCTCTGACCTCACAATCACCATGGTCACACCCACATACACATGCACACATGTACACAGAACACATAAATGATGTCATTTTTTTTTTTAAATATGAAATGCTTCACGAATTTGCGTGTCATCCTTGTGCAGGGGCCATGCTAATCTTCTCTGTAAAATGATGTCATTTTTAAATGAGACAATGAGGCAAATTGGTTTGGGATAAATGTTGGGAGCCATAGCCAAAGAATGCTATGAAGATTCAGTTTCTACAAATGGGCCAGGGTGTGCCCCAAAAGAGGAGTGTGGCTTTGCTCAAGGTGACAAAAACAACTCCCAGCAGAGCTAAAAGAACTGAGGCATCCCTTATCCACTAACTCCAAGATTTTCCCTTCTTCAGATGCCAAACTCTCAGCTGGGGCCAGTGTGCCTGACCATGGCAGCTTGAATGAAAATGGCCCCCATAGGCTCAGAGGGAGTGGCACTGTTGGGAGTTGGGGCCTTGTTGGAGAAAGTGTGTCCCTGGGGGTGAGCTTTGGGGTTTCAGAAGCCCAAGCCAGGCCCAGTGGCACGCTCCCTTCCTGCTACCTGCCAATCTGGATGTAGAACTCTCAGCTCCCTCTCCAGCACCATGTCTTCCTGCATGCTGCCATGCTTCCTGCCATGACAATAGTGGACTAAACCTCTGAACTGTAAGCCAGCCCCAATTAAATGTTTTCCTTTATAAGAGTTGTCATGATCATGGTGACTTTTTACAGCAATGAAACCCTAACTAAGACACTGGCTTTCTCAGATCTGCTCAAGAAATGTACCTCCTTACATTTAACCACCAGGATCCATACACCAGCAAATCCTTTCCTGGAACCCACAAAGTATAGTAAGTCGGTTCTGAGGCCCAAGTTCTGCCCTCCACACAGGCCACTGTTACTTTCATTGGAACAATAGGAGCAGGAAGCTTGGGACAAGTTTGGGGTGCATATGGAGAGGTGCCCCCCTCAGTGCCTTGAATCTCACGCCCACTCATTGCTGGCACGTGGAGCACCAGCCTCCAAATGTACGTACCGGCAGCCATTTCCCGATGTCCCCAGTGTGAAGCCAGCCATCACTGTCCAGGGCCTCCTTTGTCCTGTCCTCATCTTTTAAGTAGCCTTTGAACACATTTGGGCCTTTCACACATATCTGTGGGGGCAAACACCATGGCTTTGCTCACTCATGACATCAGGGATCCAACACCACCAGACTGTCACCAGGCATGAGCACAAGTGTGCTATCCATCTATCGGAAGGCCACTGTGGAGACTGTGACAGACCAGAGGGCATGAAGTACCCTTCTGCTGTCTCTGCCCATGACCTGCCCCTTGCCTTCTCTGAAGCAGCCTACCCCTGCCCTGGCCACCCATCCTTCATTTGCTACCTCTTCTGCCTTAGGAGTCCCTGATCCTAGGCTCATGCTGTTCTGTGACACTCACCACAGATACTGATGATTGGCCAGTCCCACCAGAGCTGCTCAGGCCCCCTGCTTCATCGGACGACAATCTGTTTCTCCACCCACTCCCTAGGGCTGAGCAAGAACAGCTCAGCTCAGCCCACTTCATTTGGCCTACTTGAATATGGCCATGTTTCTGATGAGACAAGTTGTACTGCAGTGACCCATGCCACAACTGGGCATGTATGTGGGGGGAGGGAAGCTTCTTTAAGGGTCAGAAATGTAAAGAATCTTGATGTATTCCACTCAGTCCCAGTGTTGGGTTTTGGTTGACTCAAGTACATGGATAACTTTAAATGGCTTTACACACAAGTAAGGAGAAAATGGCTCCATGCACACTGCTCTTGCTTTCACCTGGCTGCATGTGACACCCAGAGAAGCAAGAGATGACATCTTAAGCTCACCTCTCCCTCTCCTTTGCTGGTCCAGTAGTTGAGTTCCTCTGCATCAACCAGCTTGATATGATTGCAAGGCAGAGGTGCCCCTACATGCCCTAGGACAGCGGAACGAGATGACACTTGTCAATGTTTCAGTATTGATGGTGCTCAGCACCCCATGAGATCCCCAAGCATCCTGTCATGGTGGAGCATGCCCGTGATTCCACAACTTGAGAGGTGGAGGGAAAACTACCAGGAGCTCAAGTCCATCCTTGGCTGCATGGTGAGTAGTTTGAGGCTAGCCTGAGCTACACGAGACCTTGCCTCTAACAAAGCAAAATGTAGACAAAGCAAAAAGGGAAACAAAACTCCTAGCAGGTTAAAGCAGGAAGCCTGGGGACCTGAGTACCACACCTTCACACAGGTGCTGGTCAGGTGTAAAGGGAGGAACCGAGGACAAAACTAAACTCCAGAGAAAGCAGAGGCCGGCCTTCCCTTTACACTTGATTACTTATTATTACACAGGACTGTTCTTGAGACAGGGTTCTCTGTGTAGCCTGGGTTGTTTTGGAATTTACTATAGCACCCAGGCTGGCCGCACCCTTGTGATCCTGTGTCAACCTTACCAGACTTGCAATTAAAAGAGGGCACCACCATGCCAGGCTTACATTTGGTTCTTAATTTTTCCACATTTGTTAGTATAGAGTGTGTGTGTGTGTGTGTGTGTGTGTGTGTGTGTGTGTGTGTGTGTACATGTAGTACACCACAGCACATGTGTGGAGGTCAGAGGATAGCTTGGAGGAGTCAGTGGATTCTGGGGTTATCAGGCTTGGCAGCACGTATCTTCACCAGCTGAACCATCTCACTGGCCCTTATATTTGGTCCTTACAGAGCGAAACAGGCATAATTTGCCTAGCACAAACCTACATGGGGGCCCTGAGTCAGGTGGGAGTCTCATGTCCACTGTCCAGATGGTTAGGAGGTTTACAACGGTGCCTACATCAAAACATTTTTTCCAGCTAGGTATGGTGGTACACACCTCTAATAGCATCATCCAGGAGATGGATGTTGGAGGATCAGGAGACTGAGGCCAGCATGTGCTCTATGAGACTTTATCCCCAAACAAAATGTTTTCCCCAATATCAGATCATAAATCTTGCTTGTGCGTCATAAAATACAGTTATCATTTCTTTTCCCCTAGTAAGGCTATTGATTGTGCATACAGAGATAATCTAGAACTCTTGTTACACTGTAGACTTGGACTTAGGTTTGGGATGAGGCAAGAGGGTCTGTGTTTCTCATAGACATCTAGGCAGTATTGATGCTGTTGAACTAAACACTACACTTAGGTGAGCAAGGAACAAGAAAACAGGATGAAGTTACTCATCCTCAAAAAAAAAATCAAATTCCAAATTTTGTTGTTCTTACACACTCCAGCCACAAGATCCTGTCTAGTCATTCACTAGCCTTTGTGGTCTTTACACTTTGACCAGTCAAAGGACTGTTAAACAGGTGCTGGCCAAGGTCCTGAAACCTTGGTGCTGGGGATAAAAAAGAAGGCTGTGGCACCTGGGTTTCTCTTTCAGAAGATACATTGCCAAACCTGTTATGATACTCTACAAAGAGACATCAGTTTTCTCACACCCAGAATCTCAGGTTTTCTAGTAAGGATGAATAGAAAGCCAACAGTTTTACATGGGAAAATGTTAAGGATGGCCTCCAAGGTAAGTGGGTTCAGAGTGGGCTCAGTGGGGAGAGGGGCCTGCCACTAAGCCGGATGACCGAAGTTTGATCCCCAGAAGCTATGTGGTAGACAGAGAGAGTGTACTCTTCTAAGCTTTCTTCTGACATCTACATGTGCACCGTGAGATACATATGCTCTCCTACACAAATAAATAAAATAAATAAATATAATTTTTTTAAAGGTAAGAATGAAAGTGTCTAAAAAGAATGGAATTTGTGGAATGATGGCTCAGTATGATGGACACAATGAGGAAAAAAAGCTAGGTGCCGGAGAGCTGGCTCGGCAGTTAAGAGGGCTTTCTGTTCCTACAGAGAAGAATTTGGTTTCCAGCATCCATGTTGGGTTAGCTCACAACCACCTGAAACTTTTTCTTCAGGGGATCTGCTGCCCTCTTCTGGCCCCCATGGGCATGTGCACTCACATGCACATACCCCACTTCCCACATATACATAATTAAAAACAAATATTTGAATACTTTTGAAAGTTAGTGAGCATGACTTCCAAAGATGGTTTCTGAAGAATATCTGGCAGCAGGAAAGTGACCAAAGGGCTTATATATGGAGCAGTCTTTACCCAGCTGGAGCGTAATGAGTCAGGGTTCATAAAAAAAAATTCCTTATCTGCTCAGTCAAATGCACTTTGGGTTTTGAGTCTACCTATCATATTTCAAGATGATGTGAAAGACTATTGCATTAACTAGCATTTTTTTTTGCATACACATCATTCTAAATTTTCCAGTTTTTATTTGAGCAAATGTAAGCACAAATAGTGGCCCTAGGGGGAAGAATCCGAAAGAATTCTCTTGCTGAGTGCTTTCTAAGTTTGTCCAGTGCCCACTCTGAATCTGGTGATGGATGGCTCAAGGGCTAACTACACTACTACAGACCTACTTCTGTCTGCTTCGGAGGAGGACTCTCTTCGTAGTGAGAGTGTGCATGGACCTCCTTTTGCGATTGCCATCGGCCTCTAGATACATCACAGGAGCCCCATCTTTAGGAAATAATCCTCAGAGGGGATGGAGAGATGGCTCAGCAGGTAACCACTCACTGTTCTTCCAAAAGGACTGGGGCTTGATTCCTAGAACCCACATAGTAGCTCATAGCCCTAGTTCCAGGGGATCCAACATTCTCTTCTGGCCCCTACAGGCACCAGACACACCCACTATGCACATATGTATGTGCTGGCAAAACACTCGTACATATTTTTTAAAGAGAGAGTTGTCACATTCAACTCATAGCCTGTTTCTTTCATGCTATTAAAAAAAACAGTTCTAAAATAACTGTAAGCAGGCAGTGTGGTTATCTAGAATCTACAAAACTCAATGTGCTGGTATTATAAGCATTTACCACATGGAGCTATATCCTGTGATCTATATTTTGCACAACTTCTATTTATTTAGACAAAAACCAGGACTGGTTCTTGAGATAGATCAGTGGGCAAAGATACTTGCTGCTAAGCTCGACAAATCTGAGTCTGATCCAGAAATCTACATGACAGAAGGATAAAACAAACCCGTGCAAGTTGTCCCCTGACTTCCACATGTGTGTCACAACGTGCGTGCACACATGCACACATGTAAACAAAGTAAGCAAATCAATGCAATTTTAAAT